CAGACGACTTGGGATCTAGTCCAGTCTCTAAAATATCGGCGGGTGACGAGTATTTCATCAGACTAGAATATGGAGGGGGTGGGGGAGAAGGACTACGCTGATGACGAGAGACGGCATCCACTGAAAAAAAGATCGTATAAATATATATATCAGTGGAAGTTTACAGCGGATTTTCCTGACAGACACACACACATTTATCTATATGAAAATAAAAAAGCGAAGGTACTAAAATCCAACAAGTGTGACAAACGATGAAAAATAAGCCCCGGTAGTTTTTCGAGTTCTGCTCGTACGTCAAAATTTCCTCGCAAGGATCATCTGTACTGAACGCTTGAAAAAAATCCAACTAGCCAACCGGAAACAATAAGTAACACACGAGAGTGCAGGTTGGCTTAAGCCAACCGAGGGGGGTATTGAAAACAGTGACTAGTGACCCCAAGGAAGTAGTGGCAGTTGCCAAACAAAACCGCTCACAAGTCGAAGAACTTGAAGAGTTCCCGGTGGCGGAATGGGTAGCATGCTTGCTTTCTGCCCATGAGGTCCCGGGATCGACACCCAGTTGGGTCGATGGATTCGCACTGCTGATAAGACCCAACCGGGTCCAAACAGCTGTCCCGTGCTTCCTAGTTTTTCAGTTCCCATTTGAGATTATGGTGTAGATGAATTTAAACTGTATGTGCAGTGCAAGCTGGTTGCTTGGTACGAGGGAGAAACCTTGATTGATGGCTAGAGACACCCGGGAATATGAAAAGAAAGGATCTAAAGATGTAGCTGGAACAGAGGCTTCCGAGATGATGACTTCAAGTGAGTTAAAGAAAAGGTTTGCAGGCAAATGTAAGGGAACTCTTTTGCAATGATGACAATATTTGGTGAATTTCGTCATGTAGAGAACAAATTGGGCATGAACTGAGAAGCTAGGATGCACTGGACAAGCTGGATCTCATCAGTAGTGCGAGCCCATCGACCCGATGGACGTTTGAAGCTGGGACCTAATAGACAAGCATAATAACCACTAGACCACCGGGCAAATGATCTGACCGTTGTTTTGTTTTGCCTATACCCGACTCACCTTTGCGACCTAAATGCAGGCGTCACACGTCATCACGAATCTTAGCACTAGCCTCAAGGCTCGGTTGGAAACAATTCAAACCAAACTATTTCGACATGAGACGACGATGGTATACCACTAAAGTATACCACCAAATCAGGGAATCAAAACAAAGTCGATGAAGTTCGAAAGTTGCTTGCAAGAAAAACCTTTCCACAGAGGAAGCCATCTTCCCTGATCTCCGCCCTCCACCGGGTTCATCGTTTTCTCAATTCCTCTTCNNNGTTTATCTCAACATCGTGCCACTTCTTAAACTTTTCCCTGACCTCTTCCTGTGCTGCATTCCCCAGTTGTATAGGTTGAGGTCCTAGTTACTCCCAGCAGACACGCTTACAACTGTTAAATGGAACCGTGGGTTGTACTCGATCGCACTTTTTCTGGTCCAATTGGTGGAGGCATAAATGTAGTTAGAGAGTGAAAAGCGAACTTCCGACTCTCCTGTGTCATTCCTCCTTCATTTTTCGCAGCACTTGGGGATCTTCAAAGCCCCGGACTGAAACGAACCNGTCGGTCCCACGGCTGATACCGTCCTGGATCGGAATTGAATGGAATTTCATCTCTTGCTGTATATTTACCTCAGTTCTTAATTATTATAACCCACCAATTATCATGATGGTATCAAGTTACTTTACCACAGATTACTACCATCACACATTCGAAAAATGACAGTAACAATCAGCAACGGCACGCCACTTTCAGTAACCCCAATTTCGCTTCCTTAATGTGAATGAACCGAATAGCGTAGTCAGACGCATTACTCTGTAGAAAGGTCTTTCCTTGAAGAACGCAGTGGAATATCAGTATCTGTTTCTCACACGGTCTACCACGCACGCGCATTGTCAAACGCGAGTTGGGATTCACGGAAAACTCCCGCTCCACACCAAATCCAAATGTCAAAAAGCAAGGCAACACTCACAAAGATCAAGACAGGTGTCAAATACATACATATATACTTCTGCGGATAAATAGGACTATGTATCTTATCTATTAGTAATCTGCCAATCGGAGTTGACTGAGTCAGGTACAAATAGTAGGAACTGAAGTTACGATCAAAAACACAACCGACAAGTGATCACCAATCTATTTTAGAAAAAAACACTTGAGAAAAATATGGCGACACGTGTAAACACTGGGCCACGCAGAAAAAAGGTAGACAACACAAACGCGTTACCGCATACCGGTGGTACTTGTAGGAGATCCGGAAGTGTTAGAGGAATGACGACCTTCCCGGTGTTGTGGACTGCTATGTCTCAGTCGTGAATTTCGCCCCGAGGACGATCGGCTCGGAGTTAACAGCACGCGATGTGCCTCCTGAGCCAAACGCGGTCCGGTCAACGATCGGGGTGGTAATCGGACGATATAGGCCCGGCTAGAGTTACTGCTGTTGTTATTATTCATATAGTCCAGATCGGTCAATGAGCAACAGGCCCCGCGGACAGATGGCAAGTGAACTCGGCGAAGATAAGCACGTCGACCGACCAGACTGAGCCACATGAGCAAACAGAAACAGGCTAACAGCATGGCGGGAATTTTGAACCACGAATAGGCATTCTTGCACGAACGACACATGCAGGGATTGACAAAAAATTCTCTGAAATACGAAACGAAGAATGAGAAGCAATGAAAGGGGAGCACCACGATTTGCATAACATACCTAAAATAATATTCCCGAGTGAAATGACAATTCTTGCGCACGACTGTGTGCCCAGTCTGGTAACCAAACAACGGTGAGGTGAACAACAAGCTCGGGAAACGAATACCATCACCAACAAGAACAACTGAGTACCTATGAAAAGGAACACTTACTGAAGTCACATACCGATTGAGGAGTGGCACACGTAGCATATGCGATGGACGGAGGTGTGGATAGATGCACACACTTCTCCCAGTACTACTGTCGAATAAAACACAGCTCAGAGATATTGCATGTTCATCCACGTAAAGGGATATATCTGCACATTATACACCCGCAACTATCAGCTGGTAGGCAGCTTTTCTGTCGTCCGGTTCAATACCAAGCCTAACCTTATTTGATTTGTAACTCCAGGTTCCGGGATTTCGGTTGCCGGTAACAATCCCTGAACACAGCAGGTATTCGCGACCATGTTGTTCATCGCACACTGATGTGTAATAGAAAAAGTTGGCTCGTTGACAGCTGCAATGATCAGGTAAACAATTTCTCGCAGAACCGGTTAATGAATTTGAAAAACCATACCGGAATTCCCTCTGCAGACAAACTGTCGGGTTTCTTTGAAATAGACACCGCGAAGGCCTAAATGTGTGGTGATACTTTACAGTATGTTACAAACGGAGAAAGGCAACCGGATCAGAAAAGTGGAGACAATGAATCACCTAATCCTTCTTTGAAAAATGTGCATTGAACCAAACGAAAGAATGACTGTGCAACATCCAAACGCGGTTGTTGCTGTTGTAATGTCATCATCCTAATTTGAAATATAGGGGCAAAACCCCTCTCTGTCGATCACGCACAGAATAACGGGTATTCGGTTCTGTCTGCTTTTTCGCAAGAAGGTTCACTGCAGGGAGACCGGTCCAAGCCATTTCTTTTTGTTANTTTCTTTTTGTTACATTTATTCTACAATAAGTAGTAGCTGTTGGACTGGAAAAACATTTATTGAATGCACTAGACCGATTTCACGGTTCATGCCGCGAGTCAGTTTATTCGTATACCCGTACCGAGGACGTTTATTTTCGACGCTAATATCTAATTTGCAATACCGTGTATTTGTTCTGATAGGAACTTCTGAACTGTTATGGATACCTATCATTATTGGAAGTTGCACAGGTGGGTTAGATGATATATATATATATATATTCACATACTAATTATTATGAAATATTCTACCAAGACCATCAGGTTACGTTTGTTGCGGTTAGTAGCATCTAACCCACTTACAACACATCGAATCATAGCATCGATTCTTCATTAGACTGGCTCTGAAAGAGCTATTTATCCAATGGTTACTCTGTGTTGCAAACAAGGTTCTTGTGACGAATATATATATATATANTCTTCATTGGACTGGCTCTGAAAGAGCTGTCTATCCAATGGTCACCCGGTATTGCAAACAAGGTTATTGTGACGAAAATATACTTCCTGGATACAAGTATATGAATGAACTGACAAAATATTACCGGATCCGCATGTCTGACAAGCGGCAAGAACCGCGAAACCGGTCGTGTGCTTCCAGGGAAATTGTCTAGTCATCCACGTACGACCTATGATATATATATATATATATATATTTGAACGAAATTGTCTCCGCACCTATTCAAACATGTAAGTAATTGCTCCTTCAATTCGCCCACAGTTTAACCCAGTAAATTATGATTTCCATGTAAAACCGTGACCTTTGCAAGTCTGGCATATGTGCAGAGATTATCCTATGGAAAAAGACAAGACTCCATCACATTTTTCTCAGAAACAAAGGGCGGTAACAGCACTTTCCGGGATACCCAACCCTTCTCTATGCTCCTTCTTTTGACTAATAACATTCCCCCAGATAACTTCTTCGTCGCTCGCCAAAGTTTGTTGCCTAGTAGCGCTGTAAGTTACCACAAAATAGACTGCAGATTCTGAAGCTTCTTCAACCTCTCAATCTAGGGGCCTTTAGCATGGGGACCCTAATGCATGTAAGTCAACGTGCATATCTGGCGCGTACAGTGGACTCTTTGGGAATTATTATTTGCTGCGTACCATACGCCACTGGAGTGCGCCAGATCTGTCTTGGAATCACTTCCTCCGCACGTTAGGTGACGACGAGGACCGTTCCTTAGACAAGCGTGGCCTAGGGATTGTACTCAATAATTAAACCGGAGGGTCGCTAATAGATTGTGTCCAGGTCAGCAGTCGCTTAAGTGCGATCCAAGTGTAGGGGTCAATCAGCGTCCGGATAGGGAGGAAACACCAAAAGGTGTTAGTACATTATCTCAGCGTGTGCACCAACCAAGTGCAGTTCTGACGCACAAAAGGAATTTCCGTGACAAACTCACCGAACTCATTCGGTTCAGCTGAAGCTCCGATATAACTGTCCTTGCCGGTGATTATAATGTGCAGGTTGGAAAACTGAGTGCAAAGGAAGCTTGCCTAGGCGGTCGTTGTGCTCGGCCCTGCCGGCGAACAGACAACGGCGATCGACTTTTTCGGTTCTGTGCAAATCACCATATGTTTCTATCTAGTACCAACTTCCGAAACAGCATTCACGTGGCACTGCAGCTTAACTGATGCTTCAACTCAAATCGACCACATAGCAGTAAGCTAACATTGGCGTTGCCCAGTTCAAAACTGCAGGTCCTATTGAACCACTGGCGTGGAATCCGATCACGCATTAGTATGGATGCAATTCACTCAGACTGAATGGTCGAAGAAAAACACAAGATCGGTTAGACGATCAGCGCTAATCTGACCCAGCCATTCGTGCCAGCTTGGAATCAGAACTAGTGCTTGAGCTAAACGCGCTGCGGTGTGGAAGTGTACATGAACAATGGGATCAGATTAAACGAGCAATGCACTCCGCAGCGAAGGTTGCTTGTGGATCTNGGAGTAAACGTGCTAATTTCGACCACCTGGGATCAAAACAGGGATAGGTGGCACCTGCAACGTCAGCTCACGAAGAGCCTGAAGAAAGACTATGAGAACTGGTGGGCAATGATAGTGAAATTGAATTAGTAGCTGCATCAGGGAATAGTCAATGCAATACGGGAGGTTGGTGAATCCGTTAGTGAAACAATCTACAACGCTATTCACAATAGAGAATAACTTCTGAACCGGTGGGCGGAGTACCTCAATAAACAGTTCAGCTGGCCAGGCGATAGCCAGATTATTTCGTCTGATGTATTTGAGGCTCCGTGGGCATTGTCATGCGAACTTCGTACTGAAGCAGAAGTACGATCTGGTATCCAGGCCCCGAAGAAAAGAAAAGCAGCCGGGCCTGATGCGTTTCCTTAACTCCTTTCACGATAGGAGACGATGATTCCACTACTGATTTAATGCGTAACATCTAGTCCAAAGAGCACATTCCATCATCCTAGAGCGAATCACTGATCATATCAATTTTGAAAAACGACTGCGAAAACCACCGTGGGATAAGTTAGATCCCAATAGTCACCACGGTGTTAGCCTCTGTCATATCTCGACGTCTTACTCCCGTCGGGGAGACAAATATCCGCGAACCGCAAACAGGATTCCGACCAAGTCGCGGTTGCATGGACCAAATCATTATGCTACGTCAAGTCCTCGCTATACACGCCGTCGACCAACGGTTGCAATATTCCTTGACCTAGAAAGAGCCTTCGACTCAGCTGACCACGAAGCTCTAATAAGTTCACTTCTTCGCAAAGGAAATCCACAAACGTATGTGGTTTTATCAAGGTCACTCGACTCGCATACTTCTGGTAGCGTAAGCTCTATGGCGAGCTGAATAGGTCGTTCGAAACTAGCAGCGGTGTTCGTCAAGGGTGTCCTATTTCGCCGTTCCTGTTCAAGTTTGTCATCGACGTAATACTGGAGAACTCACTAAGTGGTCTCTAAAACTTAGGTATTGAATGGACAGCCGGAGAAAAGCTGTGCGATTTGGGGTAGGCTGGTGAGAAAGTCTGCCTGTACTAATGTATGGAGATGCGCAAAGCGCCCTAGGCAGACGTGCTAATTCCGTTGCTCCGATCGGTATGCGCTTTGCACTTTCAAAGTGTAAAGTGATGCTGCAAAACTGGATATCAACGAGTCCCGTTCTGAAACTAGACGATGGTGGCCTGATGGTTACGTCACCAAATTATCACCCGGGGTTATGTTCGAATCCCACCACCACCGTCTGACTCTCCCGATCGTGTTGAGTGGTAGTCCTTTGATTGGCCGCTTCGTGTTTCCTTAAAATTGTATCTTCCTATATTCAATAAAAGGAAGTAAAATGAGAAAGAAAAACACGAAGAAACAAAATAGTGGAAGTTGACTACTTCTCGTATTTGGTAGCATTGTGAACAACGATGGTAGCGCATCAAAGGAGGTAACCACCCGCATTCGCAGCAGCACACCCGGGACTGAAACACCTGAGGAGACGAAGTGAAGTTTCACTGAGGTTGAAAAGTCATGTATGTATACTGTGCTACAGCACAGTCAATCCTGCTTTACGCTTGTGAAACCTTGAATTTTTGGGTAGAATACATCCATCTCCTAGTGGTTTTCGACAACGATGCTTGCGTAGTCTAGCCCAAGTGAAATGGAGATAGTAGGTTAGTAACCTAGAAGTCGTCAGGTGTTTGGGAATGCATCGAACAAGAACTCCCTACCGCATCGAGTTCAGCACCCTGTCTTATTTACAGTGGCCGCTGAAGACAGCCACGTAGAAGCCCCCAGATGACGTGGAGACGAGCAGAAGTGCACAAAGCG